TATGTTGCATTTTCTTTTCAGAAAAAAGTTGTCCGGAACCTGAAAGCCAAAAAAATGGGATTGTGAAAGGATTGTATAGCCCGTTCAGGATTGGAGAGAAAATTTATTACTCTTGTGATCAATGTTATAAATTGATAGGACCTGCTAATAGACAATGTCAAGCTGATGAGCGATGGACTGCCACTCAACCTACATGTGAACGTAAGTACAGGATTACCTTTGTTGTCATTTATGCTGGCGAAATTTTACCAGGGCAAACCTGCAGATTTTCTTCAAAATCCATGTTCGTGATATCGAATTTGTATACTTTTAAAGCGCACTTTATTATTATTATCTTTTTCTTTAGCCAGGATACCCACATCACCACTGACAGTGTTTTTCAGTGGGGTCCTGCAATTATAAATTAGATGTACCATACTGAAAACGTACATCTTTTACAATTCATGTACGGTATATAATTATCACTTATTTACTGAGATCGAGGGAAACAGTCTTCAAAACACGCTGCTTTCCCGAGGTCTCAGTAAATAAGTGTTTTGTTATATAGTATACAGTATAAGTGTCAAAGTATAAATAATTCACCGGTTATTGGAATGAACTTAATTTGAAACCAAAACTGGATAAATGGAACGCCGTAAATGTTTAGTAAAAAGTTTAAAAAATGAATTTCGGAACTTCATTGTTGACACGCATGCGCATTGCACCTATTTTATTATTGACCGGTCAATATATGTTTGATTGTGGACCGGTTGCCGAACATGACGTTTTGTGGACCGGCACGTGACACGGTTTTGACCAATCGGCAAACAGAAAAATTGAACGTTGGCACTAACTATATAACAATACAATTTACATGAATATTTGTATATATAGGCTATAGCAAGTTATAGCAAGTAAAATTTGAGGGGAGTCAAGAAGTAACATGAAAGAGTAGAGGAAAGGAAACACAGTGGATAAAGAAAAAGAGAAATTTGAACAAAACTAAAGAAAGAAAGATTTGAAGACAGATGATAAAGAGAGGTCCACTGCCACATGCTATGCACACTGTGTCTTTTTAATTAGGTCTTAAAGTTAGATAGAGATTCAAAATTTTTAAGTTCATGCAGGTTCAAGGTTATTAAAGTCTACAGAAGCTTTGTATGTTGATCGACGTTTTGCTTTGTTTGTCTTGTTGGAGATTGATTAACATATATATATATATATATATATATATATATATATATATATATATATATATATATATATATATATATATATATATATATATATATATATATATATATATATATGAAATAAAGTACAAAACAAAAGAAACAATAAATAATATTATAAATAAATTATAAATATTATAATTATAAAAAAATAAAATGTATCTATTTATTAAAAAAATGTAAATAAATAATTAAATAAATAAATTAAATAAATAATTAAATAAATTTAAATTTTTTCATAAATAATTAAATAAATTTAGCTGTACTAAAAAGTATTGAGCAATCTACATTATATCAAGAAAACTTGAATTGTTATATATATATATATATATATTGCTCATTGTGATAAAAATGCACTGTCACTTTTCCATACCTTGTAAATTTATTATATAAAACGGCTTATATAGCCTCGTTGAACTCTTCAAGTGTTGACATCTCGGAATCATTTAAAGCGTTAAATGATATAAAATATCATCTGACTGTAATCACATGTTTAATTGAACAATTTCAAATGTTGTTTCCTCAAAAAAAAATGGCGAAAAAAGCCCCCAAACTGTCGAAAAACCACGATTTGCAAGAAACAGGCGAATTTTGCAAGAAACGGCACAAGATCTCCCAGGCGCTCCTCAATTTTCGATGCCTCAAGCCCATAACTCCCTGCGCTTGTTCGTCGCGGTGCACTACTTCATGTAAAGCTTTCATATAGTGACTCGCATGAAATTTTTTATTAGCGCCTGGGGACGAGGCAGATAAATAAGGTACTTTTTGTTCATCGACAAGTAATAAATGTCTAAAAATACGCATCTAAATCGTGAATTTTCCATTTTTTGAATAATTGTCTTGATATAGTCGGTTACAAATTGTTATTGTTTATTTAATCCAAAATATTAAATATGACTATAGTGAAGATATGGAAAATATCTCGCTGTGCATTTTTCAGTATCTCACTCTCTACTATATAATAAATCTTTCTATCTTACAGCTGTCACATGTAGCTTGCTTCAATATCCAGTCAATGGATATCTGACCTTCAACTCACAGCAGTGTAACAGTATTGTACAATATAATTGTTGGTATGGCTACCAATTGAATGGATCACCCAAGAGACGTTGTCAGGGCAATGGCACGTGGACAGGAAACGAACCAGTTTGTGAACGTAAGGACACAGAGTATATACTACCTAGAAGTCCGACTTCTTGTCGGCGGTTTTGATGTCGGCTAGTGTAACCGGCCGTCATGTTCCTAGCCAGTGCGCTTGATGGGAGAGGCCGTCATCCTCCTTGGAAACAGTCAAATTTATAGGCTTGTTTTAGACGTTTAGCGCAGCGCAGGAGGGTAAATGCCTCCCATTGCGCACTATCTTGCAGCCGGTAACGGGGATTATACCTAATCGGACCTCCATATTATCTATACTCTGTGGCACGACTGGCATAGAGTATTCTGTAGCAAACAGATAGATTATTCGTGACGACCGATTATCTAGTATACAGGCCGTCTAGTCACTACAAACGGCTTGCTTGCGGAGTTTACTTATACCCACGATATGTTTATGTATATAATGATTTATTAAAACCTCCAGTCTAAAGCCACTGGGAAAAAATACGCCCGTAGATGGCTGCTGAATAGACGAAAAAGCGTAGTGGCGTTTCCACAGTACGCTTGAGTCATTCAACGAGATGATGCCAAAAGGACATTGTCTTCCCCATTGATAGGTTTGCATAAACATACACAATAAAATATTCGCAGACTTTCCAGACCTTACCTTGTTTGACTATATGTATCGACTATGACTACGGATAACGTTTTTCTGACCAGTTCAATCCTTAATTGAAGGTGATCCATATACCGTAGGGCCAGTATAGACACCAATAGTACACATAAATTTTTGGAGATGTATAATGGAGTGCTGGCAGTAGAAGGTATATGGATAAATGTCGAAATTCTGGGCATTTTCCATTGCTTCTCGTAGATGGAATTTTCGAACGCAAATTTCTATACACCTTTAGAGAGATGCAGCGGAATAGCAGGACCACGGGTTCGATTCCTGCCAGACGGCTTCTACTGTAGTTCCATTTCTCCCAACTGTTCCTGCTTAGGTGTAAAAGTGGATAAAATATATTTACGTTCGAAAATATCACATACGAAAACCCATTATACCCTATTTGTCCTACGAAGACTGAGACTTAAACAACCTCGTACCCAGGGTTTTTTGCTCCCGCGGTTGGATGGTCAGCGAAAAAATCCCTGGCATTGGCTGGTCTGTTTTGCAACTTGATTGGTCAATGATTTTGAATGTAAGTAATCATAATTCAATATATTACCACATATTAATATGATTGAATTTTGAGTACTTACATTCAATAATAATTATTTTGGTGGAACTATTTGGTCCAAATTAAGTCTTAAAGTTTGTACATTTTGTATAAAGAAGTATTTACTTCGGTTCAACATACATTTCTCACATGCGTCGTTTATACATCTTTGATTTCAAGAAACATACAGCGTAATAATGAAATAAAGATTATGATACGAATATGTTTGCTCATAACACGATTTATATAAAGCAAAGGCTGAAGCGGTTTGGTTGTTCATTAAGAATTTAATCACAGGGTAACCAGACCCTGAATAATTATGTTTAAAAGTCATCAATATGACGGGCTATGTTGCTGGATGCAGTGGTGTAAGCCGATTAAAATCAACTTATTTTGTTTCTTTCTCACCGATAACGCTGCATTAAGAGTGTTTACTTATAATAATTAAAATGTATGTAATTATTCTATATACGTACTTATACGCATAATTTATCATAATTGAACACCCCAAGTCCTGGAGGTTTTGAGGTCATGTGACCGGCCGATACCAGGGCCATTTTCGTTGACCGGAAGCAAAATGCCCTGGGTACGAGGTTGAGACTTAAAGCAGTTTATTCTTACAGTCAACAGCTGTCAAGATCCAGGAACGCCATGGAGAGGAAACAGGAAAGGAATTCTATAAGTTGGAAAAACGCTCCACTTCTCATGTGATCAGTGCTACCAACTTAAGGGTAGCCCAACTAGAACATGTCAATCTGATCATAGCTGGTCGGGTCGTCAACCCACGTGCACTGGTAAGTTTCGTGGAAATCACTTTTTCGTTTTTACTCCTGAGTTTTCAGTTTGCAGCAACTTTCTACTTTAGCGCCGAATGATTTCCATAAATTAACAGTGGAATAGCCGTGGTGGTTGTGTGAGTCTCTCGTCATAACCTCCAGTACTGTTCTTGTGAAAAAATGAAATCCGGGTAAAAAGTATGTGAGTCCGAGGGGCTATGTCTGGAGTAACGTTGAGATATGTTATGGGTTTCGGGATGATAATCTTTCTTCAAAACTCGTCTTAGAATTCGAGAAATGCTGTTCTATAGATACCCTGGTTCCAGAGGTTTATTTTTATTATTTTCATTACGAAGGGGAGAGGAAAATAAACCTCTGGTTGAAAGCGGCAATTGATTCATCGAGCCGCGGCAATCAGTTTGAATTAGGGTCAGATCCTGACTCAGTCTCCTGATTGGATGATTGTATTAAAGCTCTCTGATTTATTCAAATAAAACATCTATAACCAATCAGAGAGCTTTAATACAATCATCCAATCAGGAGACAGAGTCAGGATCTGACCCTAATTCAAACTGATTGGCGCGGCTCGACGAATCAATTGCAGCTTTCAATCAGAGGTTTATTTTAAACCTCTGGAACCAGGGTATTCTATAGGCAACACAGCTGAAATTCAAAGTTTTGTATTTGTCCAAATAAAAATTAATTAAGTTCTAGAAAATAGTCTCTGAAATCCTGAATTGGACAGCCCCATATGCTATCATATTTTACTGAGATACAGTATCACTGCAAATATTCCCTGGGTATAATAATTTACCAACAGTCACTCAAACTTTGCGTACAATATCTCAAATTTAATTATGAGAAAATTTACTCAAACGTTTTTACTAAAATTTCAAATTTACTCCATCTTTTGAGTTTAAGATTTACTTTACTAAAATGAATAATAAGATAATTTGCTCATAAATTTGAATAATTTTACTTAATATTATGAGTCACTGTTGGTGTATTATTTTACGCAAGAATTTTTTAGTAAAATTGTTTTTGCAGTACTCACTATTTTACAATATTTAGCTGTTCGATGCAGCGAGTTGCATCACCCTACAAATGGAAGAATAGTTGCACATTCAAGGTACTGCGGAAGAAAACAAACAGAATTTTTATGTTATTCTGGTTATCAGTTAAGAGGTTCAAGAAGAATAACTTGTCAGAGTGACGGACGCTGGTCTACAGCGAGTCCGACCTGTGTCGGTAAGTTTTAATCCTTTAACATTAACCACTTACCCAGGGTCTTTCTTGTTGTGGAGAAAAGTCCCTGGTAGACACTGGTCACGTGACTGCTAAAATCTAGCAGATTTCTAATTAACTATCTTGGATTCCTTTACAGTAATCATTCAATGTTTAATTATTATAAATTAAACTATAAAAATTATCAAAATATTAACTATTCATTACCTCATCTTGGATTGCTAATTAAAAATCTGCTAGATTTTAGCCGATCAAGTGACCAGCGTCTTCCAGGGTATTTTCTCCCCTCGCCAAGAGGAAATACCCTGGGTACGAGGTTGGTTAAACATTTCTTTCAGTTCTAGTTCTGTTTACTTCGAACCCTCTTGAGAGGCGGTGCACGCGTTACCTTCCCCCGCCTTTCTGTCGAGCTGGAATAATAATGCGGTGGCTAAGGCCCCGTCCACACGTATTCGGATTCATTTGTATCAGTTCGTTGTCCGAATTTGCTTGTATCCTGCAAATATTTTGCTGCTAATACGCCTTCCGTCTACAGGTACAAATTCTGAGTTTATTGAGTTTCTCGCTCATTGGTGATCGGATTTCCCTGCAAGCTATTCAGCCCATATCATCTCTTTACTGATGTCATTGTAGTGGGTGGCAAAGGCGTAATGCGTGACGCGTGATTAGTGCTTAAATTATCTCTTAAATGATCGTGAAAGGACGAATTGCGTGACTCGTGATTTGGACAACAAAATTTTGTGAAAATGTTGTTTTATAACAATTATTTTTTCCTTGAAAATTTACTTTTCGAAGTCGCTCAGAACAAAGTTGCGCAAACTCATATCAACTCGTATTGCCTAATTCCGAGAGCTCCCTTCTCCAATAGTAGTCCGAGCAAGCGCTTTTTCAAATGTACAAACTGGAGGACTTCAAAGCATCAATGACAGGTTATGAAAGTCATGAAAAACATTGCCATATAGTCATACGCAGAGACTTTACTTCACGATTTTTACGATTTTATCTCTTTTTATCGCCATCAGTTTAGTGTTGTGGATTGTTATTAATTAATATGAAACCGAAATTTACTTCACATTCATCTTCGAAAAAGTTGATGGCATAGCACTTGTTTCATTCTTTGCATATGAACCTTCTGCGAACTCCAGACAGCCTAGGCAATGTGGAAAAAGAAGCGCACAAGCTATAACAAGGCAAAGTTTAGTATACCGATTTATGATATTCACACGGAATTCAAGATTTTGTGAAGCAAATAATATAACTGAATTCAATGACCTGAAACATATCGCGCCAGGTAAAGGTCTTGGACAAAATACAGAGTCACTTCATGCTGTCAGTCATTTTAAGCACCCCACATGTGCACCTCTTGATGTTCACTAACTGTTCCTTTAACATTTTGTTTGCCGGAAATAAGTAGTACTAAGTCAATTGTATGTGTGTTATTGTTAGTGTGATTAAAAAAGCAACATATTTTGTTGTTTGAAGTGTGATTTAATGTTTTTGTGTATTTAGAAGTTATTTCTAAATACAGCTTGCTGTCTTTAGAAATAATTCTAAACATAGCAATTAAATATATTTGCATAATCTTTTGTTTGTACCCCTCAATTTCCCTATTGTTCAAGCCCTTCCCACTTGAAGTAATTAAAGTCCTGGTCTAGACGGGGTATCTAGATAGATACACGTGATGTAAATTACACCATGTCATTGGCCGAAATACTATGAATATCTAATGATGTGTGAGAATATGTCTTCAACGTTTTTATTCGATCGAATCCTGAAGTAATTACAAATTACTGGTTATTATCTTTTAATAATGCTTTGTGTTTTTGAGATCCCAATCCCAACGTAGCACTTGGAAAACCTGCTTCTATGTCATCACATTGGACGACGCATAGTGGACCTGCAAGTGTTGTGGTTGATGGCAACAGAAGTGGAATATTTCTTCAAACCAATTTTGAATATGGATCATGGGTAAAAATCGATTTGCTAAAAGAGGTATTGCTTGCTTTTCTCACTTAATTGCATGCTAAACTGTTCTTTCTAAACTGCTTTACTACAGGAAATCACCGGAACACTCGTGGTTTTTCGCAGACTTAATCTTGAAGCATTCTTCTTAGATGCATGCGACGACTGAGATAAAATTCTAGCAAGACAGCCACATAGGGCAGGAAGCTAGCCATTTGAACACGCAATAAGCATTATCCCATATTCATTGCTAATCTTTCATTCGTCTTATATATTCTGCATATTTTCTCAATAGTTCATTTGATGAAACGTATTCTGAAAGAAAGGTTGATTATTTGGTTAATTGACTATATCCATGAAGGGACCGGTCATAAAGTAACTGCTAGGGTTTGATGGAGTGATTTGGGATGGGCCATGGAAAATCTTTGGGAAGTTTCGATGTGCCTCCAATTTTTTGTATGTCCACGGTTGAGCCACCAAACAAAAACCCATGTTAATTATATATTACATAAACTAAGATATTAATAATAAAAGTAAACAAAACTATCCAAATTATCAAATTCAAAATATGCTATTGAAGCTAGTACTTTGAAGTGGTCGAATCTCAGCGAATACAATTAACCAACTGGAGAGCAGCTCAGTATCGTAATTGGTGTTGAATATGTTGGTCAAGCTTGGTGGAATTATATATGTCAATACAGTGCCAGTGTAAATTTACAATGTTCATACCTGCAAGTTTTTATTTTATTATAAATGTGTATTTTCCCAATTTAGATTGAGAGGGTGGGTCATTAAATAAATTTGGTAAGATTAGATGGGCTTTGAAATTTTTGTCTACATCCTAAGATGGGTCACCAAACTTATTCACAAATTTGTGATTTACCTCCAGCCCACCCTAGCAGTTTCTTTATGACCAGTCCCTAAGGTTGACTGATTTATTCAATGTCATTAATGTTAATGTTAATGTGTTTTCGCCGTATATTTTTTTGTCAATTATTGAGTCAAAGATGTATATGCATGGTCCCAGTCTTATTTCTGCAATTTTGGCGGTAAGATAAACTGGGGTTGTTTGCACCACTAAGAATTGTTATGGGCAAAGTTGGCAAAGATCCACGAAAATTGCTAAATTCTAAGAATACAACACAAAACAACATATATATCGCAATACAAAACTACATCGCACAGTACAATATTGAATGTTATGCAGTGCAGTGCAATGCAATACAATGAAACGCAACACAACACAACACAACACAACACAGCGCAATGCAATGCAATACAGCGCAATGCAATGCAATACAACGCAATGGGCAATGTCATTAGTCTCACTGATTTTCGTATTAATTAGTGTGGTATTTTTTAATCGTCAAACATGCACAGACAGATACACATGCAAATAACCACACAACGACTAGGCCATTGCAAGGGGGAGGGGGGGGGGGGGGGGGGGAATGCAATAATCATTCGGTATTTAATATTTGCATCATTGCACTAATTGTATTTAGGATACGGTTTCAACTGTGATCGTGGTGAACAGAAGAGAATGCTGTTTTTGGAGGATAAATGGTTTCAAGGTATCCGTTGGGAACAATGGTAACAAGGCGGGGTCAAATACAAAATGTGGTAGACGATCAATAGCTAAAGAGGGGCCAAATATTATCCAATGTCCCAAGATGCTACGAGGAAGATATGTATTCGTGTATATGCCAAAGAAAAGGTGGACTACAATGGCCCTGCTTGAAGTCGAGGTGTATAGACGAAGAACGACAGAATAATTTTTCAATTTAGTCACAATTAACGAAGTCACGAATAACCAGATAATATACTTTGATCTGTATACCTGCAAATTTTAAATGTTATATTAAAGTTGTGCAACAAGAAGTGTTTTTCGGGCTGTGTATAGTTTGAGTACTTGTATTGTAGGTGGTTTCGCCGAGAACAATTATGCAACAGATGTTTGTCAGTGGCAGTTACCGATGTGAAAAAAATGTTGGTAATTTTCATTATACCAAGTGATCATGCATATGGTACCTAAATGAAATAACAGAAAGTATTCCACTCCAAAGACCTCGAAAAAACTCCCTAATAAATCCCACAAAATCCTTAAAAATCAATATCAAATTCCTAAAAACCTCTACAAATCTATGACTGAAATCTAAAAAAATCCACACCAATCCCCCCAAATCTCAAGAAATCCCGAACCGGAAGATTCTAAAAGATCTAAAAGGGATTTTCGAAAATTAAAATTCTCATACATGTTTTGGAGTGATCAATAAACACAAAACTCGCTTCAGCGGACACGAACCCGAATAGCTTGACATCGAGATAAATTGTAATTATTATTTGGAGTTTTTTTCTTATAATATTATTACCAAAAGAAAATCCAGATCTGGAAAATAATGGCTGTTCTAAGACTGTTATGTCGATCTTACAAGATCAGGGGAAATAAATAAACAACCCAGTAAACCACACCTTGCAGAATAATATTGTCCAGCCTCCTCTACTGGAAGAGAGCACCTGTAGAATTGGATAACTGATAATTTCCCAACTGATTTAGTGGGTATAGACTCGGACTTTGTATTAATTATATTAGGAAAAATTAGGTAGGCCTACATGTTATGCATAAACATAATCTAAGAATTGAGAAAAACATTTTTGGTTAAGATTAGCAGCGAACTATACCTCGCCTTTCTTTAACAGAACTATTATCTCACTATTTAACAATTAGTCGCCGAAGGCGAGGTGATTACCAGCCGGCTATATTCACTGAGCTGAAGGCGAATATGACCAACCAACCAATTGACTAGCTCACCAACATAACCGACCAACCACTTGACTAGCTGACCAATCAACAAACCATCAATCAAACCGACCGATCGACAACTGCCGATCAACTGGTGAACCCGATGACGAACTGTTTGGCTAGGCAACTGGCCGATCTGGCGGGTGACCGACAAAGACTGACTGACAAACCAACAACTAAGTATCCTACTGACCGGCTCACTGACAGAACGATGTTAGTGAATTACCTGATCGACAACTGATAGACTAGCTAGCCGAGCCTGCCTGACTGATTGACAAACCGACGGACCGATGACCGAATAACATACCTTCCTTTTCCAGACTTTCTTTCCTATCATAATACACACGCTCAGGGGAGTCTTAATGGTCTTTCCAAACAACTGAGCATATATTTTCTCCTGCATAACCTTTCCACTTCTTTACAAACGTACTACACTCATTTATAAAAAGAAGACACGACTCTTTACAAAATTCCTTCGGTCTACATACACTTGTCATGCGATCGCAGCCAGGAAACGTATTGTAGCAGCCAAAGAAACGAACTTGGTTGGTCTATGCATTTTAGTTGCTTCTTTAACAAATACTTGGTGGTCTTGCTCTTGTATCTCCCACAAATGGTCATTTCAGTGCAGTTGTACTGTCTTGTACATATTTATACTTATAATGTAAGCTTCGATTTAATGTAAAATCCAATTTGCTTCTCCCTTTATTTAACATTTTAATATGATAAAAAAGGTAATCAATAAATATACACTGTCACTGAAATTATAATTACTTGACTGTGTCTTTTTTTCATTTTACGCAACGATCAGTTTTTAAAGTAATTATAAAGCAAACAATACATCAATATTTAAAACAAAATTACCTTCATTAACGTCTGCGTCTTTGCTCCCTTCTTTTAGCAAATCTAGATGTTTCAGCTTTTTTCTCAAAAAGCTTTTGAAATTTAAATAGTTGCTGGAGCGCTGCTATAAGCACACTTAGACGTTCTCTCCATGCAGAAAAAGCCGTGGGAAATCTGCATGGACACAGGCTTACCCATAAATAAATCTCAACATGTGGGTCGATCCGGTGTAAGTATTTCAGAACCATCATCAAAGTATTGAATTCTAGTTTCATATTTATGTTGACACTACAGAGAACAACGAAATATTCGTCGACTGCCTCTTCATCTATTTAGCTATCAAGTCAAAGGGGATTGGTACAGACAGGCCCGTAGCTGAGGGGGGGGGCAGTGCCCCCCCCCCCAATCCGAAATTTTGTATGAAAAATTGAGATAAAGGACCTGGAAACCAATTGTAATCATGGGACATATTCTGTAAATTTTGTGGTAAATTTTGTGATGTTTCGAAAAATTTTGTTAGGTTTCGGGAAAATTTGGTCTGTCCGGAAAAAATTGGTCTGTCCGGAAAAAATTTTTGACCCCTAAAATGGTACACTGACCGAAATTTTTTTGGCGACGGGAGGGGGAGGCGGGGGTGGGAGGTCGCCAAAATAAATTCCGGAAAAAATTTTTTCTCATCTCACACCGTCTGTTATATTCTTTCTGCAGTGCCCCCCCCAGAAATTGAGAGCCAGCTACGGGCTTGGATTGGTAGCGAAATACCTTATCCAATTTAAATGCACGAAATGTTTTCGCGGCGATCGATCTAAAGACCTGATTCCACGACGGTGAAATTGAGTTCTTGGGAGTTCGACAATTATTCTTAGCGTTATTTAGTTCTGGATAATTTTGTTCATGGTATGACGATGTGCACATTGGTCTGTCCATGATTGATACGGAATACCTATAGCTTTCCATTAGCTGTAGCTGTAGCTTTAGTACAGACAATAAGCTCACTAGTCTCTTGCCTGTTCGCCGGTTAGATGCGGGCACGATGTAAACAATTGATGTAAACTAATCGCTAATTGGCTTAATTATATAAGCTCGTCGCTGAATGGCTATGGATACGGTAACATTAACATTACGTTTGCAACAGCATATATATCAGCTTCGCAGATACAAAAATGGTATGGTCGAGTGTTTTACACGCTTCTCGAGTGTTCTCCCAACACTGGCCATGAGTGCATTATCACAACGTAAACGCACGAGACGAGTTTTTCTATTTCTTTTATACAGACTGACTGCACATGTTTTTGGTCAAAATATTTCGAAGACCAAGCAAGGTACGAAAAAATTGTAAAGAGTCTTCATATGTAACTTTAAAAACTCTTTCAAATAAGACAAAGTTAATCTTTATTGCCATATCCCTTGAGGTCTCCTCGCCGACTTTATTTTGTTATAATATCTTGTAAATAGCAAATTTGGCAAATAAACCAATGATAAGCAATGATATAAGATAAAAAATACACGTACGTTTTCAGAATAAGATCCAAATGATTGAACACGTGTAGACAGAGTTTCAAGTCAGGCTAAAAGAAACAAAGTTATTAATATGAAAAATGTATCAACCGCCTCCAGGGCTTATAAATTTAATAATATACAAAAAAGAGATTACTCGACTGTGATTGGTTGATTTCAGTGCAGCTAATCCCAAACAGCAATGCAATTTTCTGTAATCACAGTGCAATTTTGTGTAATCACAGTGCAATTTTGTGTTATCACAGTGCAAAAATCTGTAACAAACTGATCTGATTGGTGGAAAAAACATTGTGATGATTAAATCAACCAATCAGTTTAAACTAGCAATTTAGTTTACAGAAGTAACGGCACAGATTGCTTCAAAACAAAGCAAACATGCATGGCGCCGCGCTACACAAAGCGGTAAAAGTTTCCTTCGCGTGGAAAATATGGCTTTTATCTTTATTTTTAATTGGAAAAGCACTTACCTTAAAAAAGACTAACAAAAATTACATAGTTGAGTGGAATTTTCAAGCTGTTAGCGTTGTATAATGTGATATAACAAAGACAGGAAAACTTTGCCAGTGGAATATTCGCTATAAACGCGTAAGTTAAAACTACATATTTGAGTCAAATGTAATGTGAAGACGAAGATAATTTGTAGTGCCATGTTCCCACGTGTTCGTATATCGCGCAAAATATGCTAATTTGGAACCGATTCAAACTTTATATTTAGCTTTATCTTTTATAAACCTTATAGGAAACAGACTCCTTACTCCTAGATCTAAATCATTACGCCGCAAATACAATTAACTTTATAATTCCTTTTGGCATCCAACACATGTATCACTTCTAGAAGTTATCGTACATGTCAACACTTCTTAATTATCTTGAAGAAGAGGTATGCTCCAGGGCACCGCACTGCATGTAGTACTATTTATATATGTCCGGTTTGGACCATTATTGGCATATTGAATTCCGGCTTGCGCTTTAATTTTGCTTATGCATGTTTTGATAGTATAGTCTTCTACAAATAAAACTCATAATAAAGAGACAATATTTTTGCCGTATTTAGAAGGGACTTAATTTTCGGCTAATGCCGAAATTGAAAGGGAGCAAACTCACATTTTGAAACTTTTCAATCTTACTGGATGCCAAATAACACAGAATTCGATGAATCTGTAGTTAAGAGCCATTATTGTTTGTATTTTTACCATTCAGCTGTACGAAAATATATTATTATAATATATTATTATAAATAAATATATTATATTGCAACCACGATGTTTGCAATTGTGAAATACTTTATGTTGAGTCAATGTTTTGGCGCTCAAATTATAAATTGTTTGTCAAAAACTAGGCGAGGGGAAGCTATATGCCTGTATTTCTAGCAACCTTGGACCCAGCGTATTTTCTCTCACTCTAGCTGCTGTCATGGTCACCTGTTGGCATAGCCTTATACATTTATTTTACTAAGATCCCGAATACGGAGCTTTTCTAATAAAGAAGGTGGGGGGGGG